CCATTCAGTAAGTGGCAGCCATTATGATGATGCTACTACTCAGCATATATCTCTAGAAGCAACACTGCCTGAAAGGTGCTGGGCATGCACTAAGTATTCTTTTAGTTATTATTATTATTATTATTATTATTATTATTTTATGTCACTCTTACAACTCTATGAGGTTATAACTATTAACATCCACATTTTGCTGACATGAAAACAGGCAAAAAGAGGGCAAGCTTACTCAGAAGTGATCATGACTCTGATCCTCCCTAGGGGTTGACCCAAGGCAAATGACACCCTAATCTGTGCCTCAGTTTGTTTATCTGTAAAATGGGGATAATAATATCAATGGTAGAGTTGCTGTGATTATGAAATGAAGTACAGTATGGAAAACATTTAGCACAGGGACTCAGCACAGAGTAACCCCTTAATGAAAGTAGGGTTTCCCCCCCCCTCTCTCTACAACACACCTCCCTGCGATGCATCATGTTACAAAGACTCAGGCTCGCTCAGTTAATCTGTTTAATTGTAGGCACACAGGGAGCTGCAGGCTGAGGACAGATGGGGACCTCAAGCCACCCCTTCCTCAGTTCTTCACTCGCCCCTGCCAGAGATCTGGGGGGCTGGAAGGCAGTCTGCTCGGCGGAGGAAGTAGAGATAGGAGGCTGAGGGCACCTCGGCGCCAGGCTTGGTATTGCAGGCACTCTCTGTGGCACAGCCTCGAGTGGCAAACCTGGTGTTGATGATACCTGGGAGGGGGGGTTTCAGAATGGAGTCAGGGCCCCCAACCGCTCCTTCCTCACCACCTAGAAATCTTGGTCCTGCCACCTCCACACCCAGTTCTCTGGGGCCACCATCTCCCCTAAAACCTGGAATCATTGGCTTCCTCCAGTTCTGGGGCCCCTGTGCCCTCCTTCCGAGATCCAGCTGCCCCTCACCAGCCTGCACTCTGCCAGCGAAGTAGATGCAGTGGGTTTCCTGGCCGACACAGCGGGCTGCCTGGGTCCCCGGGCACGTCTCCTGGAAGGGTACGATGCAGGCGGGACACTGGAGGCCATTCTCAGTACGGTTGTTCTGGGGAGCTGGGAGGAGGGTGGAGTACAAGGTACAGAGAGATGTTTAGGAAGCCCTCCCCCACTCCCCCAATCTCACAATAACCCCGAGGAACAGCGGTTATGGACCCTGCATTTACAGGAGCAGAAACAGGCTCGAGCAAGGTGCTTGCCCGTTGTTACAGCGCACAGATGAGCGGTGGGCGAGGGCACACACACTGGCTGGAAGAGACTCATGAGGCCGGGGTGAGCTGGCACTTACGGGGCACCGAGCCCTGATTGCAGCCGTCACTCTGGCAGCAGTGCGTGTTGGACACCATGTAGTCCTTGGGGCCCATGGTGGTGGACACGAAACCCGAGTAGCAGTCGCTGAACTTCATGCAGGCCTTGTAGCTGTTCACTGAGTGGTGGCCCTCTGAGGGATGGGGACAGGAGGGGGGGGCTTGGGTAGTGTTGACCCTGCCTGGGGCCTCTCCCAACCCCACTGCGTTCCCACCCCATGACTGTCTAGGATGGTCTTTTCCAGCCCCCCTACAGCAGTGTGGAGTGGTTTTAGGTAGCTCTCCCACCCCCACCTCGTTACCGTAGCTCTCCCCACCCCCACCTCGTTACCGTAGCCCCTAGCCAGCCTTTGGCGGTCACTTGCTGTTCCCCATTGCCAAGCCCAGGCCTGCCTAACGAGGAGGTCCTTCCCAGCCCCCTCCCCACCATGGCCACCCCCTAAAGGCCCTGTGGATAGCATGAGATGCTCTCTTCTGGCCTTCACAGGCTTGGGAGCCATCTTCAACAAACCCTGAAATGTCCACATCCCTCTCTAAGCGTCTCCTCCAGGTTTCCTCATGGTCACTCCCCAGACCTCCAACTGAGGGCCTCCTGCCACCCGCTTTGGCTACCCCCAGATAGTGCCTTAAGTGGTCTCCTCCAGTCTCCATCGCCTTCCCCTGGCCCACAGGTGGTCTCTTCCAGCCCAATCCCAAGGTGTCCCCCTCTTCACTTCACCAAAGGGTGGCTTTCCCCCCTCAGCTTCCTCTCCCCACACCTCCACCCCCAGGGTCTGTAGCTCCCTCCTATATGGGGTGGTAGGTGTCTCTCCAACCCTTTCAGGTCCTTCCCCCACCTGCCAACGGGGACTAGGTCAGGAGGGCAGCCTGCCATCGCCTACCCCCCTTCCTTACACACCCCTCCTGCTGGGATGGTTCCTTCCTACACTCAAGGCTGCCCTTCACCTGCTGTCACAGCCCTTCACTCCTACACCATGCCCACCTCTGTGTCCTCTAACCTTGTCCACAAAGAGTTTCTGTACAGGATCAAGCTCCTTATTAAATGCCACTGCTGTAACACCAACATTCCTCCTCAAATGGGCCGAGACTGCAGACTGAGTGACGGAGGAGAGCAGGGACAGCCTCTGAAGAATCCTGCCGATTCTGTCGCTCGCACTCATCCCAAGCTGCCAGGGCCACTGCCAATGCCATCATTCTCCTGATGACTTTCTAATAAAACTGTTCATTCTACCCGGAAAGTCGAGGAAAATAAGCAGAAACAGACAGATTTATTTAAACCCAACTTCCTCTACTATTGTGTAGGTGCTTTTAACCCTATTTTGACATTGAGTTATAAAATAAATGGGTGACATTCTCACACCCTAGAAACAACTGAAGCTGAAGTTACCCTTATCTACAGGATTATTCTGATTTAATTTAAAGGACCATGGGTGGAAAAAT